TGGGGAGGCACTCAGAGCACAGGGGGCTGCAACCTTGCCAGGTGACCGCGAAGTCACAGCAGGGACAGGTGACCGTGAAGTCACTGCAGGGACAGGCAGCGTGCCCTGCTGCACAAGGGTGGCTATGCGTGGAGTCTACTCAACAGTGACAATTCATGCTGCAGTAACAAACCTCTACCACGTCTCAAGGGCTGTAAATACCAACATCTACTTCACACCCCAACCCTGAAGCTCTGGGATGGGGGGATGTCTCTGCCCCTGTCATCCTCACCCAGCACACTGGAAGAGGCTATCTTTCCACCCCAAGGTTCCCCACTGGTCTCCACAGGAGGAAGAAGGGAACTGGCAAATTCCACACAGGCTCTCAAGGATGTCTGTCTGACAACACTTCCCAGAAGTGTCAGGAAGCACAGCTTTCACTCCTGTTACATCCCTGGGCAAGTCACTGGCTAGATCTCACTCCAAGAGGGTAGAGGATTATAAGCCTCCCGCGATGGACATATGCAGGACCTGCAGAAGGCAGGGGAATATAATGCCCCCGAGACGGACACACTGGGGGCCTGCAGGTAGCAGAGGAGTGTAATCCCCGCCACAACAGAAAAGCATGGAAACTGCGGGCAGGAGGGAAGTATAATCCCCTCACGATGGAAACGCTCGGGACCTGCCGGTAAGTCACAGGCCAGCGTCAGGCCCCACAGGAACTCGCTATAGCAATGCCTTTGTTTTTATTTTCACTGCAATGAATTAAAAGAAGGAACATAGCAATGGTGTCCACTAGCACCACAGATTGTATGTGGACACGGGACCAACACGACCAGGCAGACAAGTCTGAGGGAGGAATATCGTGGTGCACAGACAGCTTGGGGCGCAGACACATGAAGATCAACTAAAACCAAGTGAACTGATCATTTTAAAAACGGAGTGAAAATGGTACGCAACAATGAACTGTGTTCACATATAAATGGAAGAAGACACAACATAAGGTCTTATTTCCGGTCGAAACACAAACCACAAACCTAACCAAAAAAATGCACAATGGATGTAAGAAGTTGCATTGGGAAAGTCAGCTGTCAGGGACCTCTCCAGAGTTTTGAAGAGCAACGTCAGTCTGGAGACTAAGGTGCACCTGATCCAGGCCATGGTCTTTATAATTACTTGCTATACATCAGAGAGCTGCACAATGACTAGAGATGATAGGAGAATTGATGCCTTTGAGCTGTGGTGCTGGAGGAGAGTGTTGAATATACCACGGACTGCTAGGAGAACAAACAGATTTATCCTAGAGAGGGTTAAACCAGGCTGCTCCTTGGAGGCAAGGATTCTGAGGCTTCGTCTGGCATACTTAGGACATGATGCAAGGAGGGACCGATCCTTGGAGAGAGACGTCATGCTTGGGAGGGTGGAGGGACAGAGCAGGAGAGGAAGACCCTCGATAAGATGGAATGATTCAGTCACTGGGGCAATTGGGGTCAGTGTGTCAGAGACAATAAGGCTGGCACAGGATAGAGCAGGGTTTAGGGCTATTGTACACAGGGTCGCTATGAGTCGCAAGTGACTTGACAGCACATAACAATAACAAAAGTAGCCTATTAGGCGAGAACATACCTATGAGCAGTGTAAGTGTTGAGATGAGCATGATAAATGGGGGGAGGGCAGTGCAGAGGGAAAGGCACACCTACACCACATAGGGAGAAATTCCAAGTACATCAATGAAAAAATAAATAAGAGCGAGCTTCGTTGGCCTAGTGGAAAGGAAGTTATGCTACCAAGCCGAAGGTGGGTGATTTTTCATCTGTGGCCCTCAGCCAGGTTCAAATTGTCTTCCTGTCAAACATTCTTCTAGGTGGTATAGCACTGGTCTGTGCGTTGCTGTACAGAGGTAACTCGTGGTTGCTGTGATGCTGAACACTGTGACAGTGATGTGCCAATCGTGGTAATGGGCACCCATGGTGGACAGTGTTTGCTGGAGCTTCCCGTCTAAATCAAGCCTGGAAACAGGAGCGGCATCCACTTCCGAAATGGCTTGCCTCCGGAAACTCTATGTATGAACAGTGCTCAGGCCATTCGTTCATAGGGTCGCTATGAGTCGTCTACGACTTGATGGCAACAAACAACAACAACAATGAATAACCAGCCAAGGGAAAATGATTTTATAACCTGAGTGCACAGGCCTAACTGATGCCACCTTAAGAAGTCATCCAGCACAGATGGCATCGTTTTCTAATATAGGCTAACCTTTCGTTTTCTAATACAGGCTAACCTTGGAGACACTCAGTTCCAGATCACTGCAGTGTGCACATGGCAATAAAGCAAGTCATGTCAACGTTTTGGAAGAGTTATGTTTACATGACACAATAGTCCATTACGGGGAGCTCTGGTAGCCAAGTGGAAACGAGCTGTGTTGCCAACCCTAGGGCACACGGTTCAAATCCACCAGTTGTTCCACAGGAGAGAGATGGCCAGTCTTCTCCCCTTTAGTTTACTGCCTCTGAGAACTCACTGGTGCGTCAGCTATGAGTGGATCCCAACACCACGGTGAATAATAACAACAGTTGTTATTGTGATATAGGAGTTGTGATGTCAACCCAACGGCACACACTTCAGTCCACCAGCTGCTCCACAGAGGAAAGACGGGCAATTTCCATTTGTGACGTTTATAGCCTTTGAAAACAACTGGAGGGTCAGCTATGGGTCAGTCCTGACTAAACAGCAATGGGCAGTGGTAGTTGAGAGCCTATTGTAGTACACTGACACTTCCAGAAATTCAAGCTGCATTCAGAGGAGTCATGACATGAGGGATATCACTGGCGTCAGCCTGATCTTGGCTGAAAGCAAAGAATATAAAAAGATAATTACTTAGGGAGCTCTGGTGGCCTAGTGGCAAGATGCTGCACTGCAATCCCAGAAGTACGTGGTTCAAATCCACCAGATACTCTGCTAGAGAAGGAGGGGACAATCTCCTCCTGTACCAGTCAGATCTGATTTGACGGTACACGTAAAAATAATACAATAAAAATTTAAAAAAAGATAATTACTTGTGTTTTATTGACTATGCAAAGGCGTATGACCGTGTAGATCATAACAAACAATGGCTAACATTGAGAAGAATGGGAATTCCAGAACCCTTGACTGTGCTCATGAGAAATCTATACCTAGATCTAGAAGTCGTTGTCTGATGAGCAAGGAGACACTGCGTAGTTTATGAGGAAAGGTGGGCTTCAGGGTTGTATCCTTTCTCCATTCCTATTCAATCTCTATGCTGAGCGAATCATTTAAGCGAAAAGCTGGACTATATTAAGAAGATGTTAGGATTGGAGGAAGAATCATCAACAACCTATGTTATGCAGATGACACAACCTTGCTTGCTGAGACTGAGGAGGACCTGAAGTATCTGCTGCACAAAATCAAAGAATACAGCTTTCATGAATGGATTGCACTCAACACCAAGAAAACAAAATTATTCGTCACTGGACCAATAAGCAACAGCATGACAGATGAAGAAAAGATGGAAGTAGCCAACAATTTCATTTTACTTGGATCCACAATCAACACATACTGATTAACAGCCAAGAAATCCAAAGATATGTTGCATTGGGAAAATCCGCTGTCTAGAACCTCTCCAAAAGTACTAAGAAATCGTAACGTCTGTTTCAAGACTAAGGTGCATCTGATCCAGTATGGTCTTTTGAATTGTTTCCGAGGCATCTGAAAACTAGACAATGCATCATGATGACGGAAGTTCTTGATGCCTTTGAAGTGTGGTAATGGATCACCAAATCAACTACAGACTGCCAAATAATAGGCAAGTCTGTCCTGGACAAAGTCCAGCCAGGGTGCCCCTTAGAGGTTAAGGATGGGGAAACTTCCCCTCCCACACTTTGGGCATGTGGTCAGGACGGGCCAGACCTTGGAAAAAAGACATCATGCTGGAAAAGGTGAGAGAAAAAGAAGACCCTCACCAAGACTGACACGGTGACCATTATCAAAGTGTACCAGGGATGCTGAGGACAGCGCGGGAAGGTCTGATCTGCTGGCCACAGGGTCACAATGAGTCACAGCTGACTGGGTGGCTCATAAGAACAACAGCAGCCTAACAGTCATCATGAAAACATCTGAAACACTGTGCGAATGACCAAAAGCAGGCACAGAGACACAAAAGGGGCTCATGTTGCTGGAAAAAGGGCGCTGACAGACCCACTCAACTCCAAGTTGCCACAAACCCTCCATTCATGAGAGGACACAGTTATCTGCAAAGTGCAGTAATGATTTGTGCCTGTCTGTATACACACGTGTTTAAAGCTAAAGTGAACAGGGAGAAAAGGCTGTCTGTATCTGACAGCACAAAGGACAGACGGAGACTGTGGCATGGGGATCCGTGTGCCCAGATGGTGAGGTCAGCTCGGAAAGCCTCAGAGCTGCTGTTCCAAGGGTCGCTGAGGTCAGGGCTCAGGACACCACCACTGAACACACAGGGACCTGGCTGCATAGCCCACAGGGCCCTGCCCCGCACCTCTCAGGGGGTGGACTCTGGGGGACAGAGAGGCGATCCCCTCCTGGGTGAAGACAGCCTGGACACCCAAGGGAGCTGGCCATCCAAGAGAGCTGGCCATTGAAGGGAGCTGGACATCGAAGGGAGCTGGCCATCCAAGGGAGCTGGCTACCCAAGGGAGGTGGACACCCAAGGGAGCTGGCCATCCAAGAGAGCTGGCCATTGAAGGGAGCTGGCCATCGAAGGGAGCTGGCCATCGAAGGGAGCTGGCCACCCAAGGGAGGTGGACACCCAAGGGAGGTGGACACCCAAGGGAGGTGGACACCCAAGGGAGGTGGACACCCAAGGGAGCTGGCCATCCAAGGGAGCTGGCCACAGCGAGGTCCGAAGGCGGGACACACCACCCTGCGCCCCATCAGCTCGCACTTGACGCAAGAGGCCCGGGAAGTGGCACAGCCCGGTGGCTAGGGAGTGCCAGGGGTCAGCGCGTGGGGGACAGGCCATCGGGGACCCGGGAACTCCGCCTCCACGGTGCCCTGACGGCCTCGCTGCCCACCCCCTGCTCCCCGATCGGCCTCACCGTCCTTCATAGGAGCGTCCATGGCCGCACGTCCAGCTGGGCTGGCTGCAAGCCCCTCGCAGAGGCCTCCTCCCTCCATGCACAGAGCTGCCCAGAAGTCCCTGCGGGGGGAAGGCCAGAGGTCAGCTGGTGGGCCCCCGGAGTCCTGATGCTGCAGCTGACCACTGGGGAAAGCCGGGGTAGGGGACGGGAAGGGGGGGTCCAGAGCCAGCGAGGACGGAGGTGGACGCCCCGACGGCAGCATCGCCCGAGGCCGCACTGGACGGCGTCCAGGGGCCGGAGCCCAGCAGTCCCCCCTCCCCGGGCCGCGCGGGTCACGGAGCCCCGACTCGGCGGCCGGCCCTCCCGGCCCCTCCGGCCCTGACCCCGGGCCCTGCCACCTCCTCACCCCGAGCGGCCGCTGCGCCGACGAGGCCGCACCGAGGATTTAAACGGCGCGCGGGGCCGCTCGGGAGGCCGATTGGCCGGTTCGAAAAGGGCAGCGTCAGCATCCGCCGCGGTGCACCCTGGGGATTGTAGTCCACACGCACGCCGGCGGGGTGAGCACTGCGCGTGCGCACAAGGCCTCCGCCCCCGGATTGGTTACCACCCTTAGTTGCGGCCGCTGATAGGCTCCCTCGCCCCGCGGGCTCATTGGTCCTGTCCACTCATACTGGACTCCAGGCAGAGAAGTGCAGGTGGCACTTTGAACTCACAGAGGGTTTTCAGAATGTAGAAATTATCAGATGATATCATTAATATCACATGCAAGCAAAATACTGCTGAGGGTCATTAAAAAACAGCTAAAACAGTTCATGGACATGACTGCCAGACGTTCAAGCTTGATTTAGAACAGTCTGTGGGATGACAGATTATCAGAGAGGCTGGGCTCTATGAGGAGAATTGTGGCATCAGGATTGGTGGAAGATCTATGAACAATCTGCGTTATGCAGATGACACAGCCCTGCTCACTGAAACTGAGGAGGACCTCATGCACTTGCTGTGAAGAGTCAAGGACTGCAGCCTTCAATATGGACTGGGGCTCAATGTCAAGAAGACAAAGATTCTCACCACTGGACCAATTGGTAGCATCAGGATGGATGATGAAGAGATTGAGATTGTTCACAGCTTCAGTTTGCTTGGCTCCACGGTCAACACTCTTGGCACCAGCAGCCAGGAAATCAAAAGACGTATCCCGATGGGAAAGTCTGCTGTTCGGGACTTCTCTAAAGTACTCAAGAGTAACGGTGTCTCTCTGGAGACTAAGGTGCGCCTGATACAGGCCATGGTCTTTGCAACCACTTGTTATGCATCAGAGAGTTGGACAATGACTAGGGAAGATAGAAGGAGAATTGATGCCTTTGAGCTGTGGTGCTGGAGAAAAGTATTGAATGTACCCTGGACTGACAAGAAAACAAACAGATTCATCCTAGAGAGGGTTAAACCAGACTACTCCTTGAAGGCAAGGATTCTGGGGCTTCATCTGACATACTTTGGACATGTTGTAAGGAGAGACAGATCCTTGGAGAGGGACATCATGCTTGGTAATGTGGAGGGACAGCGCAGGAGGGGAAGACCCTCTATGAGGTGGATTGATTCAGTGACTGGGACAATCGGGATGGGTGTGTCAGAGGCCATGCGATTGGCACAGGATAGAGCAGGGTATAGGGCTGTTGTACATAAGGTCGTTATGAGTCACAAACGACTCGACGGCACACAACAATAACAACATGGGATGACAGAAGGAGAACTGATGCCTTTGAGCTGTGGTGCTGGAGAGGAGCACTGAATATACCACAGACTGCTAAGAGAACGAAAAGATTCATCCTGGAGAGGGTGACGCCAGGCTGCTTCTAGGAGGCAAGGATTCTGAAGCTTCGTCTGACAATACTTTGGACATGTTGCAAAGAGTCCAGTCCTTGGAGAGGGACATCATGCTTGGGAGGGTGGAGGAAGCACAAGAGAGGAAGGCCCTCGGATGAGATAGATTGGCTCATTGACTGGGATAATAGTGGTAGGTGTGTCACAGACGATGAGTTTGGCACAGGATAGAGCAGGATTCAGACGTGTTGTACCCAGGGTGTCTCTGAATCCCAAGTGACTTGAAGGCACTTAACAACAACAGTATGGCACCAGGGATGTTATTGCCGATGTCAGATGGATCCTAGCTGAAATTAAAAAAAATATCAGAAGAGTATCTATTTGTGCTTTATTGACTATGCAAAGGCATTTGACTATGTGGACCATAACAAATGATGGGCTAATATTAAGAAGGGGAATCCCAGAACTCTTAAATGTGTTCATATGAAGCATGCTGGTGTTGTTAGGTGCCGTGTCATAGGCGACTCAGCAACCCTATGAATGAAACACCTGAACACTTTTATAACTTTCATTGTTTCTCTAAGTTCATAGGGTTTCCAGAGGCAAACTATTTCAGAATTGGATGCCACTCCTGCTTCCAAGCTTGTTTTAATCAGGGAGCTCCACCAAACTAAAAAGCTATTGTATGAACACAGCAAGGGAACACTGCATGGTTTAAAATTTGGAAAGGTGTGCCTCAGGGCTGTATCCTTTCTCCATAACCACTCAATCTAGATGCTGATCAAATTATTCGAGAAGCTGGACTCTATGAAGAAAAATGTGACACCATGATCAGTGGAAGGCTAGTCAATAACTTTTATTAGGCAGATGATACAACCTTGTTTGCTGAAAGCGAGGACTTGAAGCATTTGCTACAAAAGTTTTAAAAAGGTCTTCAATATGGACTGCATCTCAACATCAAGAAATAATATCCTCACCACTGGACCTATAGGCAACATCACAATGGACAGAGCAAGGACTGAGACTGTCATCTACTTCATCTTAATTAGATCTACAAGCAGTACACCTGGCAACCAGCAGTCAGGAGATCAGGAGACATACTCCAGTAGGAAAGTCTAGTCATGAACCTCTCCAAATTATTGAAGAGTAATGATGTCACTTTGAGGACTAAAGTGCACCTGATTCAGGCCATGGTCTTTTCAGTCACCTGCCGTGCATCTGAGAGCTGGACAGTGAATGAGGATGATGGAAGAATTATTGATGCTTTAGAGCTGTGTACGGAAAAGTACTGAATATCTTCTGGACAGCCAAAAGAACCAACAAATAATCTTAGAGAAGCTGCAGCCAGGTACTCATTGGAGGCAAAGATGATAAAACTTTGTCTTCCATACTTTGAACATGTTGCTATGAGAGTCTATTCCTTGGAGAGGGGCATTATGCTTGGGGAGGTGGAGGGGCAGTGAAAGAGAGGAAGATCCTCAATTAGGTGGGCTGACACAGTGACTGAGGCAATGGGCTTGGGTGTGTCAAAGGATGACACAAGACAGGACGGGGTTCAGATCAGTCGTTCATGGGGTCGCTATGAGTCATACTCTACAGCACCTAACAACAACTAACTACTTAAAAAGTTCGACAGTTCAAACCCACCCACCAATGCCATGGAAGAATGATCTGGTGATCTGCCAAATCACAGTGTTAAGAAGGACAAAGCACGAGAGCACTCGTGGACGGAGACAACCCAGGTTTTTTGTTTGTTTGCAGGACTCCGAGTCGGGTTCTCTTGGACTGGAGGACCCACATCCCTCCTGGGACCCCACCACTCCCTGACTGTGTCACCCCTAATTCAGTATCCATGGAAAGAACTGGAAGAGCACCGTGCCACCTGTCCTCTCTTCAGAAGGCTGGCCTCCGCATAGCCAGGTGAGCAGGTGACACCACCCTTAGCGGGCACGGGGGCCGAGCCAGGGTTCACAGTGGTTCGGCTCTAGCCATGAAAGAACAGCCCCTGAGTTCAGACATCACAGCCTCACTACCCCCACCAGCAACAAGGCAGATGGGACCTGCAGAGAGGAAGTGAGGGCGATTCCCAGGAGGTGGCCCTGGGCAGCCAGAGAGTCCCCACATGACAGTGGAAGCCACACACTGGCACCTGGCACAAACACGGAAAGACTGACCATGGGGCAAGGTAGCTGGTGTCCTCTAATCCTGCCAATGCCCAGCTGCCAGGCTCCAGCTGGCCTCTCGCTCTGCAGCCCAGCCCGGGAGGTGGTGGGGTCCTGCTGGTTGAGGGGCCAGGCCACTCACTGCATGAGGTGGCGGGCAGCTGCCTTGCGGACGAGCCGCTCGGTCAGGGGTGAGCCGGGCTTCAAGGCGTCACGCTCCATCAGAAGGCTCCTGCAGAAACAGACATGGGTCCCAGCTGGAGAACCTTCTAGAACCTGGGGACATGAGGCAGGCACTGGCAGCCTGGGTAGGGAGTGGGGCAGGCCAGAGGCTGGTGGGCCTGGGTCGGCTAGCGCTAACTGGGAGAACCAGGGACCCTGAGAGAGGGGCTGTGTCACCAGAGGGGGGCTTACCTGGCCAGGTGCCTGTGGGCGTTCGAGGTGCAGTTCAGGGCCGCATGAATCAGCAGCTGGTTGAAGACATCCCTCTGAGAAGCAGGGGATATGCCAGGATCCATCACACAGGGTGCAGACAGACGAGAGGGTAACAGGGTCCTGCCACCACGCCGTCCTCACCCCCCATTTACAGGTGCGGGTCCCGGGGCGTGGGCTCACCTGGGCGTTGCTGCCTCCGATCTCGGGGATCCGGTAACGGATGGGCAGGAGCAGCTCCACCGCGCGGTCAGGGTTCCCACCTTCGGCCTCCACCAGGGCCTGGCACAGTGGGAGCCCCACTTCACGGGCCAGCTGGTGCTGGCAGTTCTCCCCAGGGGACCTGCAGAGGCCAGGGGACTACTCAGCCCTGGGACCCCCACCAGGTCATCCATCTGTCCTCCCACCGGACACCAGCTCCCACGGGTCACCAGCACAGTGCACACAGAGGTGGTCGGAGGGGTGAGAGGACAGGGTGATACAGCCCAGGCTAGGAGTAGCCTCTGCCCACAGGCCTGCCCAGGGTCCTACCCACTACCAAGCCCTGGGCGGTGTGGTGGATTATGTGTTGGGGTGAAAGCGGAAAGGTCAATGGTTCAAATCCACTGGCTGCTCTAAGGGGAGAATGCTAAGACAATCTGCTCCTGAAGGCAGTGGGTCCGGGGAGTTCTGGAAGGTCTGGTGGTACAGTGGATGAAGCATTGTGCTTCTTGGTTTACGTCCCCCACCTGCTTCTCAACAGAAGGATGAGGCAGTCAGATGTACAGCCTTGTAAGCCCTGTCCTAGGTCACTATGAAGGGGTCACTGCTTGTCAGAATCAACTTCAAGGTCATGGGTGTTGAGGGGTATTTCTCCCTTGGCTTTCCAAGCCCCCAGTCCTAGCCTCAGTTTGTTTATCTGTGAAGTGGGCATGGCATTGGGCGGGGCCATGCAGGCAGAGCCTGGCTTCGTGGGTCACTGCCACCCACTGTCTCCCAAGCTGGACCCCAGCCCCCTCCCAGGACTAAGCAGTGTCGAGAGTGCCCAGTGCATCCCCAACACCTGCCAGTCCCTGCACACTCACTCGCTGGCCTCCTGCAGGCTGGCCAGCAACTCCTGTGTGGTCCCCATGTCCCGAGCGCCCAGGGAGGCCATCAGGAAGTGGGCATCGTTGAACAAGAGGATGTGATCATGGCTGTGCTTCCGGGTCACAGGCAGGACGTCCTTCCAGCGCCCACCCAGCGGCACCCCTGAGGACACAGGAGAACCTGGTGAGGCTAGGCCCCCTGGGTCCCCTCCCTGGACACTCATGGGAGCTCTGGTGACCTGGTCCAGGTGGGAGGCCCTGCCAGCAGGAGCCTCAGCCAAGGTGTCCTGGCCCTGGTGACATGAACTCTGTCCAGCTACAAACACCACAAATGCACAGAGCAGAAGGCAAATTGAGAAACATGGCAGAGGGGACTTTACAGAGAAATGGAGCCAATCTCACATTTCTACCCCAAACTGTGAAGGGAGGCCGGTCACTGCAGGCCACCTTCAGTTCTCCTCTCACATAGCAGCTGCCCACCCAGCCCTGCCTCCTGACCCCCAGAGCCCCCAACAAGCCCGGTTCTTCAGACGCCCCGTCTGCCCAAGACCTCTGGTGCCAACCCCAAGTTTAGGCCCCTCACTCCTGATCAGCTGATGACAAGACTTGGCATTTCTCGCCACCCATTCAGGGTGCCCACTGCCAGCTTGAGGGTCCCCTCACGTGTAACAAAGCCCCGCCATTGAGTTGATCCCAACACTGTTAGGACAGTAGAACCTCCCCACAGGGTCTCCATGGCGGGAATCTCGCACAAGGCCTCGTTTTTCTTCACGGGCACTTGGGTTAACAGTGAAGAACTTCAGCCATTGTACCACCAGGACCCCTTCCATTTCTAACCTACCGGCCAGAAACTGAGAGCCCAGTGGTCCTGTGAGTGGAACCCACCTGCTGTCTGTGTCATATAGTAATATGAGGCCTCCCGCCCCAGCTCTGCCCTGTCCTACAGCGTTGCCTGGGACTCCGCTCAATGGCAGGTTTGGGTGTTTGAGGGGTTATAAATTTGAGAGTTCCCTCTACTTCCTCAGGATGTCCGTCATAAGCTGTGTGGGGGCCTCCAGTGAGGAGAGAGGCCCAGGTGCTGGATGTTCTCCCTCAGGAACCCAGGACAGATGGCAGGGTTCCAGGTGACATTAAATCCTTTACAACACTGAAGGAAGTCTCCAGTCCTCTGGCAAGCCTCGAACCCACTCGTGACATCCTTCCAGGTTTCAGGTAGCAGTGTACCTGCCACGTAACAGGCTCTGGATGGAAGTTCTTCGGGATGGCTCCCGCCTGCCTCTGGGCTCCTCCGTGCTGCTCGGCTCACACACCTCCCTCCCCCGACCTGGTTTCTGGAAGCTACTGTCTCGGTCCCAGGTCTCCTGCAGGCGGGCTCCGTGGCACTTATACACACTGCCCTTAATCCCACTTTCTCAATCATCAGAGTGTCCACTGTCTGAGTCCCTGCACAGTGAGGAAGTGAATTCATTGCCAGTCCTGCCCTCAGCAGCTGCCGCCACCTCTGAGTCTCAGCACCCACCAGTCTTCTCTACATGGGTGACATGGCTCACGTCCACACCCTTGGATCCTGGAGATCCAGGCTCAAGCCCTCTGCCTCTGCCTGCTGCCCGGGATCCTCTGGTCCCACAGGCCTGGCCCACTGCTCATAAGCTCCACCCCATGAGGCCCAGGGCAAGGCCTGAATTCCTCAGCCCGATCTCGGTCCTTACTGCCCACAGGTCTCCTTTCAGGTGATGAGAGCCTGCCCAGGGCTGTCCTCGCCCCAGCTCTCCAGGGCTCCCCAATTCTGTCCCTCCTCTTATCTGACCGCATCAAACCTCCCTCACTCATGTCCTTCGTGGGCTGCTGACCGCTGAGGCCCAAGTCATCTCTGGCCATGTGGTCACTGCAAGCAGTGTCTGTTGCTCTTCTTCCCTTGACAAGACTGCAGGCATCTGTCCACTACTTATATTCACCTCCACTGGGACACCTTTCCAGAACTTTCTGGAAGGCCCCACAGATCCTTCGACTGCTCACACTTCACCTCCACTAGGTCAACTTCCCAGAACCCTCTGTTAGACCCCACAGATTCTTCTCTTTAGGAAGACTTTTCAGAATCCTTCAGAAATCCAATACATCCTTCTGTAGCTCACAGCTCACCTCCACTAGGACGCTTCAGGAACTTTCTGGAAGACCCCACACATCCTTCTACCACTCACATTTCATTTTACTACGAAGCCTTCTGGAACCCTCTGGAACAGCCTAGACGTTTGACTAGGAAGCCCTCCCAGAAGCCCTGAGAAGATTCCTGCCTCCTTCCACAGCTTACCCTTCACCTCCACCTGAAGGCCTCCAGGCCTCTGCTCGAGAGTGGATCCAGTGTCCCAGGGCCCACAGCTGAGTGTGGGGAGAGGGGAGACGGCCCTGCACCCAAGGTTGCTGGAACTGTCCACCTTCCCGCAGAGCAGGGAACAACCCTGAGAAGCCTTCCTCAGATGCCAGGCAGGTGAGAAACCCTAGCCTCCTTGTCCTAGAAAGGGACAGCATCCAGAGGCGAGTGGACACGTGCCACCTTGGCCTGCAGGGCTGGTAGGCAGGTGTGGGGACGGCAGGTGTAACCCTGGGCTTGAAGCCTGAGGCTGGAAGGCAGTGGGAGCTGGAGGAGAGGGCAGCACGGGGCTGGGAGCTGGCGGGAGCCGGCTCCACGGTATGCCTGACCAGGGTCTGGAGCTAGGACGCACTAGTGTCCCGTCCTTGGCCGTGCAGTGGCACCTCTGCCTCTGATGTGTGAGGGAGGAGAGAGGGGCCAGGGAGGGCAGGTTGGGCTACCTTCCAGCTGCAGCCGGTAGAGCATGGAGCAGCTGTCCACCACGTCCAGCATGGTGCCACTGGCCTGCAAGCTGGGCAGGATCTGGAAGACAAGGTCATCACAGACAGAGCACAGGGGAGAGGGGGAGGGGCCACAGGACGGCCAGGCCTGGGAGTGGAGCCCTCAGCCCATGGGAGCTAATTCCACAGTCCTCAGCATCTGGCCACTCAGAGCCGTCCTCTCACCGAAGGCTCAGGGGCCAAGGGGGGAACCCAGTGACGATGGGGCATGCAGAATAGGCTCCATCCTCATCCCACCCTTGTCACCTCACCTCTCCAAGTCACTTCCCATCCCCAAAGTCACCAACTCCCATCCCAGATCACCTCTCATCCTCAAGGTCACCTCCCATGCCCAGTCACCTCACGTCACTGAGGGAACCCCCCAACCCTAAGTCTGAGCCCCTGCCACAGGAGACTCATTTCATCTGCTCTTAGTTCTAGATTCAGCCACTCGGGGCACCTGGTCCTCATTCACAGTGGGCTTCGTTCCTGCTTCCTAGAGAGTCCTGACTGAGGGCACCCCCTTTCTGTGAGCTTCTCGCTGGTGTCTGGATCACAACACCAGGAATTTCTATGATTTCTGGTGCCTGGTATATTCTCACTGGGAGCCTGGTGGAGTCCCGAGGTACTGCAAACGGTCCCCATGCTTGGTGCTGACTGACACGGGGAGGAGTGGGTCACCTGGAGGCACCGCAGAAGAAGCCTGCAGTCTGCTCCCCACAGGCAGCAGGTCTCCTCTGACACTGGGGCTGCTGGGAGTCGAGGTCAACTCGACAGCGACTGGGTTTTTTGGTTTTGGGGGTCCCTTATGGGTTCAGGGCAGGTGCTTTATTTTTTTCTCTCAAATCTGTAGATCAATTTTCTGAAGCTACATAAAATATATGACACTGAGGAGACTGATACGGCCGAGTTCACATACTGTCATCTGGAAATGGACACACACCCATGGGCAAACAAACCCAGTGAACGGCCTGTGCTGTGTTACAGTGGGGCATCTGATGATCACCCCATATCTCGCATGGGAAGCTGTCTGTCCCACGCCTCACTGGGGAAGCTGTCTGTCCTGGCCGGGCCAGCTCTGAGGGGCTCCCTGAGCTGCAGTAAACCCCGATGGGCGAGCGCACACTTACGTGGTTATCGTAAATGGTCAGCGCGGCCTCATATTCACCCTGGAAGACAAAGTGCTCAGGCTCACATCACACTGTCCTCGCAGTGAGGTGCCACTCAGTCACGCCGGCTCCCAGGGATCCGTGCACAGCAGAGCGAAGCCCTGCCTTGTCCCCCACCCTCACGACGGCTGCTGCCTTGAGCCCCGTCAGTCACCGTGTTAACCCGTCTCACAGGGCCTCCTCCTCTGACTGGCTGACCCTGTACTTTGCCGAGCATGATGTCCTTCTCCAGGGACTGTCTCTCCTGATGTGGTCACATTTGGACAAAGTGACATGTATTTGCTTATTTGCTGAGAAATGAAATGAACACATGCATGCCATGTCCTTTCTGGGTGCTGGACCTTCGACTGCCTTCCCTCAGTGTGTGGGCAGTGGCTGGGCCTGGGTCACAGGGCCTGAGTACATGAGAGACCTCAGAGGTCCAGCATCGTCTCATTAGAAATGACCACATTAAACTATTGCCAGTTTTCTCCTAATTTTTTATCTCTTTCTCTCTCTCTCTCTAGTTCTCTCTCTCTCTCTCACACACACACACACACACGGCTCCCATGTTCTTCAGTGAGGCATACTGTCTTGCTCTTGCTCTAGTCAAAGCTCGGACAACAGTGTTTCAAAACCAGCAGGGTCACCCACGAGGGACAAGACAGCAGAGCATCCAGGCTGAGACTCGGAAGACGGGCCTGGGGATCTACTCCCGGAAGTCAGTCCAGGAAAGTGCCTTGGCTCCCAACAGACACTGTCCACCGGCCTCCTGTAGATGGCCATCAAGAAGAGTCTTTTGCAGGAGGATGACGTCATGTTTGGTGAAGTACAGGGTCAGTGGGAGCGAGGGCGAGTCGGGGAGATGGACTGGCATGGTCACCACGCTGTGGCCATGAACATGCCAGGCAGCCTGGGGATGACACAGCCAGGCAGCACCGTGCTGGCCAAACCCGAGAGCGCCACAGTGGGAACTGACTTGAGGGCATCGCCCTGTCTGGCCATCCACCTCCTCCTATCCATTCATCAGTCTCCACTTGGCAGAGTGCCTTAGTGGTACAGGCAGCTAACGTACTCAGCTGCTAACCAAAAGATTAGAGATTCAAGTCCATGCACAGGCACTTGGAAAGAAAGGTGGTGATCTCCTTGGGAAAATCGGCCACTGAAAAGGCTTTGAGGCGCTATCCCAACACTCAGTCACTACAAGTCAGAACAGAGTCCACAGCAAAGGTTTCCAACACACATTAGATGAGTGTTAACCCGTACTGGCTGATTTTCTTTAACTGCATACCCAGGGGTTGTGCTGCTTTCCCCCTGGTGTTCCACTGTCTTGTTTCCCTGGTCCCGTCTGGTTGTCATACTCCAAGCACTCCCCTCTGGACGCTGGCCAGCCCCCAGCTTTTCTCTATAAACAGGACTATGTGAAGACCTCAGTCAACCAGCCCCAGGGAGGAGTCATGACCCTGGACGAGCACTGTCAGAGCCTCATGGCCCCCTCAAGTCAGGTCAGTGGGGTGGGAGCCATGGCTGCAGAGACACGAGCAGAATCCACCAACGGAGGGACCCCTTGGCCTTGACTCTACCCATTAATTACACATAGGATTTCCAGAGCCAGACAGTGACAAATGTCATGGACTGAATCCTGCTCCCCAAACATGTATGAACATGGCTGGAGCATGATTCTCAGTATGATGGAATCACCTTTCATTATGTGACAGATGCAGTTATCCCAAGTGTTATAAGTCCTAAACTTTATGACGTCAGGAAGGCAAGGATACAGGCAATGATGCTGTCATCTACAGGAAGAGGTTATAGCCTTAGTCAAATGCTTCTGAGATAGAAGCGAGTTAAACAAGTGAGCAGAGATTAGAGGGGCCAACAGCCACCAGGACAGAGAACCTTTAAAGGATCCCGTCATCTGGATCCAGGCCCTTGTGCTGGGAAACTCCTAGACCCAGGAGAAGAGAGATGGCAAGAACCTTCGTAGAGCCAGCCGGCAGAGAGAGCCTTCCCCTAGAACTGACACCTGAACTCAGACTGCCAGCTTCCAAAATGCTGAGAGTACAAGTCTCCTTTTGTAACAGCCAACCCTTTGTGGTACTTCTGCTATACCAACATCAGTCATGAAGACAACCCCTAGAGAGTTCCCAGCTGGAAAAGCTACCAGCTAAGATTAAAGCTATCTGGAATCAAGGAGTCTGCATGGTGCAAACAGCTAAGTGTTCAGTTGTTAAAGGAAAGGCTGGTGGTTAGAACCCAACTATTGGATCTGCAGGAAGAAGGCCTGGGGGTCTGCTCTGGAAGAGTAGATCTGCCAAGAAAACCTACGGGACAAATCTGCTGTGTAGTATATGGACCTCTGTGCATCAGAATCGACTCCACAGCACCCAACAACAACAACAACGCTCCACCACGTGCAGCAGGTGGGAAGCATCCTCTCTGTGAGCATCTTCTGGGGTGAGGCAGCACAGGCATCGTCTTACCTTCTCAATCAGGTACAGAGCCCAGTGCCAGTAATTATGACAGGCCAGCATGTCAGAATCCTGGGGAGAGAAAGAGGAGATGAGAGAAAAAGCAGTCCAAGAAAAAAAAACCCAAAAGGGGCTTTTGGGTTTCTGTAAATTGTAATAAAAGTTACACATCATAAAATTAACCATTTTAGAGTAGACAAAAACAAAAACAAAAAAACAGAGACATTTTGTACCTACAACAGCCACCTCTCAATGTTCCCAAACGCTCTCATCTCCCCAAAAGGGGCCTCTAAACTCACTGGGAGGTATGCCCCTTTCCTTTCTGCATCCAGCCCCCCAAAACTGCCAGCCTACTTCCTGTATCTAGGGATTCGCCTACTCAGTGTTCTAGCTGGGCACCGTGGGGTTACTCAGAGTGACCCTGTGTGACAAGTGCCTCGTGGGGCCATCTGATCTGACTGCTCAACGGCTCACACCACCAGGAGTCCTTGTACTGACCACAGCTCGGAACTAACGGGAGGAAAGAAGGGTCACCCAGCACCTTCTCTGAGAGGTAGTGACCACTACCCTGGATTTAAAGGAGAAAACGGAGGCTGAGAGAAGTGGACAGTGGACGCAGGGGCTGCAGAGAGGAAAGCCAAGTGTTCCTCACATGTAGGATACAGATGAACGAAGGTGCACTCCTCCTTACCACAGGGCCTTTTTGTGCTGTCAGAGGGCCCAGGAGTCACGGGGCGAAGACGTCCACCCAGGCTCACAGCAGGTGCTGGCAGGAGCTACCAGAACTGGGGGTGCCTTCCTATCCCAGTGCCATCTCTGCGTGCATGCCTGCTCCAAGCACGCCTTCTGTACGGGCTGAACTGTGTCCCTAAAAAGGTTATGTTGATAAAGGCGTAACTATCGGTCTCTGCTCGTCAGGAGCAAAAGAGAAAGCAGGAGACCAACGTCTAAGAGAAGAAGACTGCTTCTTCTGAAGTGGATCACTTCCACCCTGAGGCCAGGACTGGGGGACGCCTGGTTTCCTCTACCTACCATTCTGACCAGGGACAGCGGATGACCCGTATGGGGCAGGAGCTGACACAGGGCAGAAAGCAGATTCCTAACAAGCCCAGACTCAGTAGACCCGTTGAAACCGGTTGTTGTTGTTAGGTGCTGTAAACAACAGATCTGAACCCTGTCCTGTCCTGTGCCGGCCTCACAGTCTCTGACACACTAGAGCCCTTCGCTGCAGTCGCTGTGTCGGTCCACCGGGCTGAGGGTCTTCCTCTCCTTCACTGACCCTCCACCTCCCTAAGTATGTTTTCTTCTCCAAGGAACAGCCTCTATTAACAACATGCCCAGAGTATGTGAGACAAAGCTTCATCATCTTTGCCTCCAAGGAGCACACGGGCTGCACTTTAAGACATAGCTGTTCTCTTGGCCGTCCGTGGGACGTTCAGGACTCTTCTCCAACACCACAGCTCAAAGGGATCAAGTTTTCTTCTGTCACCCTTAGTCACTGTCCAGCTCTGCGATGCATAAGTGATTGAAAAGACCATGGCCTAAATCAGAGGCACCTTGGTCCGCAAACTGACAACGTTGCTTCTCAGTAATGTGGAGAGGTCCCTGACTGCAGATTTTTTCAGGCATAATGTGTCTTGATCTCCCGACTGCTGGTGCCAAGGGAGACGACCATGGATCTAAGCAAGACAAGTCAGTTGGCAGTTTCAGTCTTTTCTCCTCAATCATGATGTTGCCTGTTGGTCCAGTGGTGTGGCCTTTGGTTCTCTTGGTGTTGAAATGTAATAATCCGCAGTGAAAACTGCAGTGTTTGATCCTCTGCAGTCAACGTCAGGACCTCCTCACTTCTCAGCAAGCAAGGTTGTTTCATCTTCATAACACCTAATCTGCATGCTACATTCCCTTCATAAAATCCTGCCTCTCAAACGATTCGCTCAGCATACAGACTGAGTAGATACGGAAAAACGATACAGCTCTGCCCTTACATCCACCTTTCCTAATTTTTTTTAACCTTTCCTAATTTTAAGCCACGCTGTATTCCCTTGCTGTGTCACGTAATGGCTTCTTGTTCTAGGTAGTTTTCCCATAAACACAATCAAATGTTCTGGGATTCACATTCTTCTCAATGTTAGTGATAATATGTTATGATCCACAATCAAATGCCTTTGCATAGTCAATGAAACACAAATGAACATTCGTCTGGTCCTCTCTGCTCCAGCCAGGATCCATCCGACATCAGCAATGAGATCCCTGGTGCCACGGCCTCTTCTAAATCCTGCTTGAGTTTCTGGCAGTTCCTCTATCTATGTGCTGTTCTAGCCATTTTTGATTGATCTTCAGCAATATTTTGCTTACATGTGTTAATAATATTTTTTTGTAATTTCCACATTCTGTTGAATCCTCGTTCTTGGGAATGTGACAGGGTGGGACTATGCAAATGTGAGGTCTCTGCAGACCATCGAGGGCACTGGGCATGTGGTTAATAATGTAAACAGGGTACATGGCACCCTTGTGGGGTGGGGCCATGCAGAAAAGATGTTCACAATATAAATGTGGGGACTGCTCCATTTGCCCCAGCAATGGATGCGGGAATTTCTCCATTTGCCCTAGCATTGGACGTGGGGAGTGCTCCATTCGCCCCAGCAGGCCCCAGAGAAGATGCCCCTGAGGTAGAAATCGGGAGCCCACAGCCAGTGAGCATGAAGAGAGATGCACAGGTGTCCTCAGGACCCAAGTCCCGGCACCAGGCATCTCCTTGACTCAGGGGACAGAGCTATGACACTGGACAGATGGTGCGGGTGGTGGCAGCAGAACAAGGAGGCTGGCATGAGAGAGCTGTGTGCTCCTTGGCCTGAGGAAGAAAGCTGTGTGCCCTTGTGGCAGGGGTTTATGGTGGAGTGGGCAGCACACAGCTAGGCAGGGTACCCTCAGCACTTAGACCAACAGAGCTGAAAGAGCTGTATAAGACCTGCTCAAGGTCAGGGCCATGGCCAGAGAGAGGCCTGCCTGTGGACGGGCACAGCCAGGAAGAGGCTGTCCTGATGGAAAACCCGTATCCAGAATCCAGAATGGTTGCACATTACTTTCCTAAACAAAGCGGTCTTGGAAAATGCATGGCCAGTGTGCTCCTTAGAAACGAGGTCGGAGAGACTTTATAGAACATCCTCTGGGCACGTTATCAGGATGGGCCAGGCCCTGGAGAAGGACATCATGTTGGAAAAGTTGCGTCAGCGAAGGAGAGAGAAGAAGACCCCGGTGAGATGGACGTAGACAGCGGTTTTGACGGTGGCTTAAACAGAGGAGCTGTGAGGGCAGCGTGGTGTTGAGCGGGGGGGTTTCTTCTGCTGGACGGAACAACCTTCCCAAGGAACCCCGTAAGGATGAGTATGTTCTGTGAGTTCCGAGTGGTCACTGTGGTGGTCATCGCGCCCAGCAGAGAAGCAGTGAGGGCCGTGGGTGGGGAACCAGCATCAGGGCTGGTAGGCCCATTAGGAGTGCAGGGTATGGCTGGCCTCACAGCTGATGCTGTTTACTGGGGGTCAGACACCGCGCCCCCATGTCCACACCATTTTTACACAGACGTGCAAGGAAGAGGCCACATGAAGATGGAGACCAAGGGGGGCGATGCCAAATAAGCAGGTGTGCCAGGGGCCACCGGTGGGTGAAGAGACTTTCCAGAACCTCAGAGAGCACGGCCCTGCCTGCCTGAGTCCAGGCTCCCACCTCCTAACAGCAAGCCCCCGGGTTCCTGCTGCTGGGTCACTCGGTCTGTGGTGCAGGCCGGGGGAACTGCAACTCGACTCAAGTCACACGTCTTTCTAGAAGGTGCTGAAGCATTTCCTCAGCCTGGACACTGACTCTGATTCGCAGCAAACCTCCTTCCTGTCCTCACTGCCCAGTCCGTCCTGCCCTCACTGCCTGGTCCGTCCTGCACCACACACCTGGCTCTCCCC